AAGCTCTCTGTTAGTCTGTGTTTGAGAGGAGTTATTGATTGCATTATTTCCCGTGGCAAATTTTTCCGTAAGTGCCTTAAACTAATTCAAAGTCCCAATCTGAAATTTCATTTTGGAACATGCATGTGTAGTGAAAACCAGCAGCATCAGTCAGGCTTGGAGATCACTGAAAATGAAATTGAGTTTTCACCGCACTAAAGAAGGTGATTGTAGTCATTAGCTTTTCACCTGTGCTGTGCCCTAAAGAACTGAGATCAGTAAGGAGTACTGGCATCTTCCAGGAAAAGGAGAAGATTTGGTGAAATTTGTCTTGTGTTGGGTTTGGTGCAGTTTTTTGCCCTGTATAATGCAATTATCTTTTGCTTGAATAAATTTAGTTCATATGTCATGGTAGCAGTCCATCAGGACTGGACATGTTTGTGTTCAGGAAGTGATAGTAGATAAGGTAATATATATTTCAATCGAAAAGGAATTATTCTATATCAACTTTAAGCAGTTTACTTTCACAAAAGTAGCACAGCACCTTAGTTGTCTATGGTACCAGCGTTTCTAACCACTCTCACCTTTTAAAGTTTAAATGCTTTAAAGAAGAATGGTAACGTACAGATATTTTTCATCCAGAAGTATTTTCACATTTAATAACCCTCCCACCAACAAAATGCTAAAATGTCAATATTTTGCTGATTACCTAAAACGTGCCTTTTTATCATTTTTATTTTAAGGTGTAACTTCATGATCAGTCTAGGACGTGACAGGTACATGGATGGAGCTGACTCATGAAGGGGCCAGGAAAGGGAACAAGATAATGGGAACAACTTCAACATTTATGGGCATTTCTTGCTCTTCAGAATGTCTTGTACAACGTGGAGTACCCAAGAGGCTCTCTATTACCTAGAGTTCTTTCCTCGCTTGTGATGAGCGTGTGTGCTGTGCTTACATTGCTCTGACCCGCCTCCCCCGGCTTTGCCCCGCCATCTTTGTAAAGAGACAGAAATCCAACACTGTTGAAGGAAAGAGAAAAATACAGTAAATTTTCAAAGAAAATGGAAGGTATAATGCAAACAGCCGTTGTGGTGAGCATAGACAAATGAACTTGCACTACAGTGCGGCTTTGCTAAATACAGCTACAAAGCACTTGTTGTCTGTGAGCGCTGATGTAGGAGAGCATTGCCGTCTGCAACTTGGGAAGTTGCAGAAACAGGCACAAATCCAAGTAAAGAGATGGCAATAGGATTACGGAGTGTCAGAGCCCTGGTCCTCACTCAACGGGGCAACCTTCTTCCTTGGAGGGTTGGATGGACTTTCACTTGTGCTGTCCCTTTCATTACAAAAGTGGCATTTTTCCTCTTGGGCCTGGAGAGACTCTCTGGAAGAGTAGAAATAAGAAAGGAACTTGTTTGGTGGCAAGAGGATCAGTGTACTGCATGCCTGTTGTTCAGCAGTCCTTAAATATGGATGAGAAAAAAATCAGGGTAAAAGTTCCTCACTCTTGGTGTGTTCAGATCTCTCAAGCTTGTGCTTTGCTCTCCTCCACTGACCCTAGGACACAACACCCTCCAGGGTATACATCTGTGGTCCTCCGATGGTGGAAACCTGTCAAATCACCAGTGGAGGTGAGGAGGAAAAGAGCAGCAGGTCCAAGAGGAAAAAGACGTGGAGAATGCTGATGCAAATAGGAGGCTGGAAACCTTGAGTGCAGTGAAGTGAATGCAGCCTGGGAGGAAGGGAGCGAGGAGGACGAGGGCCTGGGGACCGGCTGTGGGATGAAGCTGAGAAGTAGTGGAGCAGGGCAGAGTGTTCGGAAGCAGAGCCAGGGCCAGGGAATGGGGCAAGAGCCGAGGACGGAGACAGGCAGACAGAGCAGAGGGCTAAACGCAGGTGCCACCTTTCAGCTGCCAGACATTACATGGTGGTGTCTTGTCCCAGGGAGATCCATCCCAGGGATACAAAGCTCCCTACAGCCATGTGCTCCTTCTGCTCCTGCATGTCCTTAGTGCTGGAGTCTTTTCATCATCCCTTCATCCATGGCCTTTTTCCTGTAACCTGCCGCCAGCCTTGTCCCCTGCTCCTACTGGCTTGCCTCCCAGAGCTGTTCTGTGCAGCTTTGCAATGTGGCTTGGAAGCGCCACACAGTAGGCAAAGGTGTCATGAGAAGAAAGCTAGAGCGTGATGCAACGAGGAGGTCTAAATTTGCAGGGGCTTTGAAGAGTTTGTTCGTGTAGTAAATAAATAGAAAAACCAACACCTATTGTCTGCCCAAAAGACATTGTGGGTGACACCCTTTTCCCTGCTGTCTTTTGAGTTGGACTTTGCATGCAGCAAAGTCCTGAGAGCCTGCTGGCTTTGCCAGAGTAGAAGGGTTAATTAAAAAGGGAAAGGTGGTATAAATCCTGTATTCTCATGGCAAGGGACTATGGTTCATGTAATCCTATTGATACTCTCCAAAAACCAAGCCTAAATTCAATATTGTACTGTAGAAGAGCATGAGTTAGGTAGACCTAACTGAAAAGGGTTTTTTTCCTCATATGATACTTGTAAAATTATTGCATTAATTTGCAAAGGAATGGTAATTGATGATAAGAGCAGAGTTTAAGCTCACATAACTTTTGCTGAGCTGTGTTTAGTATATATTAGGAGCTTATACAATGAGTTCAAGATAGCTTTGAAATGCAACAGTTTTGCATATATTATAATAATATTTTAATGGTAATCGTTCATATTCTGAAGTCAATCTACCTGAAAAAATACAAATTAATACAAATACCATTAATCCTGATAAATAAAATGGTTTTGTATACTTCCCCAGACTATATGATACAGTTGACTTCACCTTAGAATGAAAATAGTGACAGTACAATGAAAATTCTGGTGATTTTATGTTTTACTTTTACATGTTTTTTAGATTTGGTTACCAGGGTAATGATGAACATGATTATAGAAAGATTAGTGATGATTCTGAATGATCTTGGTGTTTGCTCCCAGAAGTTGAAATATCTCTGTTCTCCTTTAAGAGCAACAGTAAACTAATTAAATCAAATTTTTACTCAAATTAAGATGTGTCTGGAATGCATAAGAATTTGGCATTGAGGAGCACAGTAAATTAATCGCAATTTGTTTAGCAAAACTTTAAAAGAAAAATTTGTTCATATTTTATAATTTTCAAATAGAAATAACCACATTTTTTCATTAAAACTTTTTAATGAAGTGGTATCTGTAGTTACCGTCTGTTTTGTGAGAAGCTGATGATTACGATGGAGAGGGAGCTTGTTTCAGAACACATGCCAGAAGTATTCAAAACGGGAAGAAATGTGCTTGAAGAGTCAGTGGGTTTGAACTTTAAAGGCTTAGGTCCTCTTGCCAAGTCTGCCACCTCTTCCCTGGGTAAATATGGGGCGGTTATCATTTGAAGTGCTTCATCTCACTTTCCTCATTTGAAAACACAGATATTTTAGCTGACTTCTTTTGTAGAGCAGTTTGAGATATGGTAGCGAGGAGGACAGATCTTATTTTAAGCACTGTTTTTTAACCAGGGGTGAGAGGTTGGCTCAGGACACTGGCAGAGAGGCTTGCAGAATTTTGCCTCCTTATTGCTTCTTGGACCTATCCCCAAGAAAAGGTCTTTCATCGAGGAATGACATTTGAAGGTGTTTTCATGTATTTATTGATCTCAGACCAACCCACAGGATGCTCTGTCTATAAATTGGCGCTAATTTAGCTGCCATTTACCAGAGTGGCTGGGATTGAAATGAGTTTGCGAGTCCTCTTGGCAAATGGTCTCCTTACGTGAAGGTTGAACATAGGGATCGAAGAACATGAACAGACACACGTTGCTGTATCTAGCTGAACGTTACTGCCAAAGCTCCACTGCTTTTTGTGGTTTCTGCCCTCCTAAGCCCTCAAACTTTTACAAACGTACAAGTCCAGTGTTGCAGGTGAACTTTAACTGCATGAGTCGTCTCACAGTAGCAGATATGCGTTATTGAAAGGGCAGGGAGTATGGTGTTATTTCAGAAATCTTATCGTTGTAAAACCTATCGCTCTTTTTAGCATCTGAAGTAGCTTGTGTTGTCTTTAATACATATGTATACGTATGTACATTTGTGCTCCCACACTTGGAAAGAAGAATCTGGATGTTTGAATTACATTTAAACAAGCACTTTAATCATTAAAGGTAGATCTAGAGCTCCAGAGCCAGGCCTGTATCACAGCTTCAGTGCCAAACCTCTCCTGAACTCTAGTAAAACTAAAAGTATATGTTTTGTTCTACATATGTAATTATCCATCACTTTCTTTTAGGAAACTTTTACAGAATTTTTTTTTTTTATCCTTACTTTAAAAAAATATTTCCTGAGGAAACTGCAGACACATTGAAGGGTCATATTAATTGAATTTAAGAAATTCAAACATTTGTCTCCAAAATTTTGAGATTTAATTAGAAAGTCAGACAGAGAGTCTTTATGCTACTATTTTCTAGTGGATCTGTGGTAATTTGTTTTGGTTTGGTTTTGTTCCTCTCAATACTGCTTAGAAATCAGCCAAATTATATTGCAGAAATGATACAGCAGCAGTTTCAAGTCTTTTGTGCCTTACATGCTTGATTAGAAAAATCCCATTAATGATAGAAAATGCTAATCAGCGATGTGTTTTGCCAGCCACCACAGGCCCACGCACTCTATGCAATCCGTTGTTTATTAACCCAGTGAAGGTCATTGTAGCTTTTGAAAGCTTGTGTGACAGCATCTCAAAGTGGTTTTAAAACTCAGTGCCACTGGACTCCAGTGCTGGAATAAATCAAGGCTGGGTATTTACTTGGCAGGATGGCTCTGGCGTAAATGAGTTTTTTCTGGATGGAATGATCATACTGTGCTTTTCATTTGTTCATTATAATTGTCAAGACAGACAAACAGTGCAGTGGTGGCTAAGCTGGTGGTGCTGCCATTAAGCAGCTAGACACTGTCTTTATCCATGTCTTACTGATTTTCCTTTTCTTTTCTTGGCAGGTGACATCACACAGAAGGGATATGAAAAGAAGAGATCAAAATTAATTGGGGCCTACCTGCCACAGCCTCCCGGTACGTGTATCTGTGCTTGTGATATATGAAGATGTCAAGTGTACTTATAGTTGCCACAGTAAAATCTGCATCTCTTAAGAAATTTATGTGGCAGAAACAAAGCTATTGTTATGCAGAAAAGCTTATTCCATCTATTTTATGTATATTTTTATATATATGTCTGCTTTGATGTGTGTGTACATTTTTTACATATGTTGCTGTGGGTTTGGCAGTGGTTTCTGGAAAATAAAAATCAGCCTAGACTCATTAGAGAGGCATTGTTTGCTGTAAGTAATGCAGAAATAAAGAGGAAAACATGGTGTCCTAACTCATTAAGACCTCAGCCAAGTAAAGCTTCCTGAACATAGGTGAACATTCTCTTCCACAACAGTGGAAGAGAACCTTGGAGCTTTTGTGCCTCCTCCATTTCTGGGTTTCCTGCCCAAATCTCCCTTTCAAAGACACTAGCAACATCCCTAGAGTTCAGCTTGTCCTATAACACATGGGCAACCAATCTTTCATAGATTCTTAGTGTCAGTGTTGAGGGATGGGTGGCATGTACTTGCCCAAAAGGTGTAAAAAAATCTTCAAACAATTTAATAATGTATTGCTGCTTTGAAATTATTTACTGTATATATTTAAGAACTCTTCAGAGTTCTTTGACTCTTCTGAGGCACTGAATCATGAAGTTGAATATGCGGGTGTAGGCATTGGTGTGGCTTCCATTTTGTGTTGACTTCACAGGAGTGTACCCCACATGCTCGTGGCATCTCACTGTCCTCATGGAGGCTCTGCTTGGGTTTGGCTGTCCTCTGAGCCCTGTTTTTATTGCAGGCCTGGGAACTAGTTTCCTCCTTTTACAAAATCCTGCCTTTATGGTTGAGATGATGGTTTTCTATTTAAACTACTCGTGTGGAGGCACTGCCTTGTTCACTCATCCTCAGGTGTATATATATTAGCATATATATATATTCTCCATAGCAGAATTGTATTTTGTGCCCTTGGATTTCACTTGGTCTGCTCCAAAGGCAGGAACTCCACAAAAGACATCAGTGTTACACACACCTCTGTTTTCTGACGTGATACAGCCTGATTTGAGGGTGTCTCTGACATTTCCGAACCATTGGGAGCCATTAGAGAATGAAACAAATCAAATCAACAGAATTACAATACCAGAGGTGCAGTTATTTAATTTCTGGGTATTTATTGGTCTGACCAGACTGTCAGACATACAGTAGTCTTCACAGTATGTTCTCATGAGACCTACTTAGGTTTACTGAGTTACGGAGAGACTGTTGCCTCACATTAATCCTCCACACAGTGGTGCAGTTGGTACCGGCATTTGTTTATACATTTAGTTGTAACTTTTTTTTTCTTTACAGAAGAAAATAACAGCTTTTTCTCCAGAAAGCTCATAGTCTTCTGGTCGAACTATATCACTGAGTAAAATTGTTGGGGATTCATCATGCATGTAATGATGAAAGAGAGGAGGTGGAGAACCCTCTGAGCTTTATTTTTCAAGGTCTCTCTTGTGGTATTAAAGTTTTTCAGTGTAAGGAGAAGCAGAGAGATCTCTGTAAGCCAGTCTCATGGTGGGATCCATTCAATAATTTGAAGTGGTCATGACTGAGGATGTAGCTGATTTAATGCTGTTTTAAACATGCTGAGAAACGGAGCAAATGTTTCCTGCTCTATAACTTCCCGGAAAATCCTGCACTGGGTGTGTGGGTATGGATGAGTGGAGGAAGATGATAATAGGATGAAGAGAAAAAGTACTGAAATATTGTTTGTTACTTTCTTTTCCATATATCAAGCTCAGTCATTTAGCTGATGGCTAAATGAATTATTTTATTATAGTGGAAGGCACTGCTTCTACTGTATTAAAGTGTTTTCCTCCAGAAACTGGTATTATTTGTGCTTGGGTCTTTGCTGTCTTTGTACCTTTTGTTTGTTTTGTTGTGTTACCTTTTGGACAAAACTTGAAACAATGCAATTTGATACTGTCTTTCTAAGACTTTACTCATCTGAATGGTTTGAGGTCCCTGCTCACCAGGAAGGGGGAGATTAATCCTTTCCAAGAAGAAATAGGGTAACAAAACAGATGCTGCCTTTTGAAAGCTTCTGTTAATATCTGAATAATCACATACATGACCAATTAGTCATTTGTTTCTTTCTTGTAATCTGTTTTGATGGGGAGCTGCAAGAATTATAAGCTTTGGTGATCTTGGATCTTACTATTAAAAGGGCATAGACTTTTTAAAGGTATTTTAAAACAGTATGGAAATGGACACGGCTCTTTTGCTGGGGTTGGAGGCATTGGGAAGTGGTAGGGATTTGCATTCTGTGACTGTGTTAAACAAACTGAAGGAAATCCAAAGGCAGTTCCCCTCTGTTGGGACATCGAGTCCTCTTGCTGCACCTTTGCTAACATTACTAACGCCCATGTTGGCAGCGTGGAACATTGACCCGCGTTGGCTCCGTGAGTGTCCTGTAGTGTCTGTGTGTGCGTGTGCGTGTGTGCTCTACTGCATGGGGGCAGCAGCTCCATTCATTGCTGTAACAAATGTAAAAAAACTAAACATGAATTAATTAGTTTTTTTCAACTTGTTACAGCAGCGAATGGAGCTGCCGCGGTACGGTGTAGACTGCAACACAGTGAAGGAGCTGCCAGAAGAATGCTCCGCACTGCCAACATTGGTGTCTGTGACATCCGGGAAGCGGCCGCTAGAGAGAGAGCAGCCAGCACGACAGGAAACCGGCCTCTCTTTTATTTTCGTTTTGGTGAGCACAATGAATGTATCTTTTCCAGTCCATATCTGTCTGTAACTGTGCCTCATCCGGAAGCCTCTGGTAGACACCTACATCACTCTGATAGCCTAGGAACTGCCAGTGAAAAGGCAGGACAACCGAAGGACAACATCTGGAGGGCCGTTACCAACTTTTGTCTGCCTAAGAGTGCAGTGATGGGAAGGGAGAAGGAATAGTCCTTCTTGGTAACATTTGAACATGTTAACGTCTCTCTAGCTTCTATACTGTGGATACTTTCACCCGTACAATAAGCTGGTGAAACACAGGAGACCACGTGTTTCTAATTCCCTTTTCGGCACTGCCTTTCTACAGAGCTCTGGACAGGTCCAAGCGCACCAGAATCCGGAGGAAGCTGTAAAAATCCACGCACCCCTAACTCCGTGCTATTTTCAACTAGAGATCACCGCCTGAGCTCCTCTCGTATCAAAACCATTCAGAAGCAGACTGACTTTTAGGAACGGGTATCAGGCTGGTAGAGCAGAATGGAGGAAGAACATGCTGCGGGGCTGCGTGTCTGCAGTGTGGACAGGCAAGGCGTGAGCCCAGTCATGCCTGCGTAGCTGTGCCCTTCAGCAGGTGCCTGTCCTGCCTTCTGGAGGTGACCTGGGGCTGGGGGCAGACAGTCTGCTCCTACTCCCTGGGTTTGTAGCAAAGATGCAGAGGATTCACAGCCCCTCACGACACCAGATTTTCTCTTGCCAACCATGCGGGCACATGGAGGACATCACACTCTTGCCTGTGTGCTTGTCCACGCTCCCACAAGGCAGTCCAGACATGGTGTAAGAGATGGCTAGAGGGAAGACAGGATTTGCAGTTCAATCAGGACAAGACATGCCAGTAAAAAGAGGAGACACCCTTCCCTGCTCATTTTCAAACCAATTTGCTGTAATACTATAGAGGTGATCTGTATTGGATTCTGACTGTGGTGTTTGTATTTCTCCTCTTAGGTGGGGCTGCTCTAAGTCAAGTTCCCTCAGTCTGACAGGATTAACTTCCTCTGCCTAAGATTTTTGCAAAATAGGAATGATTAAATTTAAATTGCAATTTCAGGTTTAACAGAATTAATGATATAAAATCACGTAAGTGCTAAATGTTGGCAGTTAGAAGGGTTGGCTATATAACATATATAAACATATATGGTCTTTTTGTTGTGCTCATTGCGATGCTGTCATTTTAGAAAGGGAGACCTGTTACTTTTCAGGAATGGGATTAATGAAACGTGAAACTGGGCAACCATGTGGTTGATGCTCTAGCAGGTGATTTGGGAGTTCACTCTTAGGCTCCTCATTTTTGACAGGACAATCCCAGAGAGTATATTGTCACATATGTTGTACAATAAACGTGCAGTGAGTCTGACACATGGGGGACGTGCTGGGTCTGCTGCACATCTGCAGGTTGACTCCGCAGTGCATGCACAGAAGGTCTGACACATCCAGATGCTGCACAGACTGCAGATACGCAAAGGACATTTGTACTGTTCCAGACGGACTGTCGAATGTCCAGAAATCCGGAACGGATATGCTGTGTTTGGCGATGTTAATGGGAGAAGGGGTAGGGGGAGCCCCCTTTTTCTTTCCCATTAAATCCCCACCTGCTTTAACTTAGGGAGGCAAAAGTACAGCTTTGTTTCCTCAAAATGCTTTCTCAGGATGTCAGTTTGTAGCTGGAGATGTTCTGTGTGCTGAGTAGTTTTGCTTTTCTTAGCACGCCTGTATGTCTGACGTCTAAAAATAATAGTGAATCCGGACCTTTATATATATATATATATATATCTGCGCGTATAGCCTCGTCTCTCTTGTTCTGTGACCTTTCTCTTACTGCCTTTGTAGAGGAGACGTAACAGCCAAGAGCTGAAAGAATAACCACTTAAACCGGCATTTATTTCAGAATATCTTTCTGAAGATTTTCTTGATTAGATCAGTCAATTGTGAGTAAGATAACATGTGGACGGCTGCGTGCACACTATTAAGAGAAACCCTCCCTAGAAGAAAAATAACTAAATTACCTGCATCCCCCATAAGCTGTGTTTTTGCCCAATTTGCTTCCAGTCTTTTGCCAGGAAATTTGATTATTCATTCACAGAACAGAGACGATGTTGTTATCAATTAAGCTTTGCTTCTAACAGCTTAGACATGGGTGGTTCATTCTCTCTTAATCAAGTGCTGTGTCTACACTAGATTACTTTCTGAAATTTCCCATCATTGGTACCACCA